CGGTTGTTAAGCGAAGATCCGCTAGGTAGTAAACACGTTGGACAGTTGACGTTGGCGCATCGTTACACCCACAGTGACCACACACTCTCCTCCTCCCGCGATAGACAAGTCCGTTGAGAATACCACCTTGCCTGCCCCCTCCCCCCACCATGGGCCCAGAAAATGCGGCATCGGCTCGGTCAGTTGGATAGGCTGGACGGCCCTTTGGAGCTGTGTTACATCGACATCGACTTCATCGGCCAGTTGTGGTGTCCGAATGGGACGCATGCACAGCGACGGCCCTCGATGAGGTCGCTGTGATGGGCATTTCCACGTGCCTCGAGGGTTTGCACGACGTCATGTCTGTGGACTCGTCCACATCGTGTTTCCTCGATATCAGCTGTCGTGTTCCCGCCGTTTCAATCCGAGGATTGTTGGGCCTTCAAGCTTGTCTCAACCGCGTGCGACCAACCCATCTGTCCATTTCCGGTCCAAGGTTGTCACCACCATCCTTGTACCTGCTTCTGCTCTGGGCACCGGCCTTCTACTTGCATCTCCCCCCGTACGCCCCTGCATAAGGCACCTTGCTTCTCGAGATGCCATCGATTGTGCCAATGAACGGCACCTTTGCCCGTGCTCCTGGCACCTCTGGCATTATAAAGTTCACCAACTGCTTGCTGGTCCAAGACGACAGTCTGGTCAAGGCCGATTTATGGGTGAGCTCGTCCACCGGGAAGATACTAAACGGACAAGAGATATTGTACGAGCATCGGACTGCGCCAGAGGAAATCGTTGACCTGGGTGGCCGGATCCTCTCGCCCGGCTTCATCGATACACAACTCAATGGTGCCTACGGATTCGATTTTTCTGTCATTCCGGATGAGGGAACTTCAGCGTACAGCAAGGGAGTCCGCCGCGTCAACCGAAGTCTGGTCACGACAGGTGTCACATCGTACCTCCCGACGCTGACATCTCAACCACCTAAAGTCTATCAAAAGGTGATTTGCCATGGTAGTAAGCCGCGTTGGGACAGCTACTAACGCCGTGTCAGGCACTTCCTTATCTTGGCCCATCCGGTCACGCACGCGATGCTTCATACGGCTCAGAATCACTAGGCGCGCACTGCGAAGGTCCTTTTCTCAATCCCACCAAGAATGGCATCCACAATACCTCTGTTCTCCGTGACCCAATCGACGGTGTAGCCTCTCTATCAGCCTGCTATGGTAGCACCAACCTCAGCCCTTCAACCATCAAACTGGTCACACTTGCCCCCGAACTACCTGGCGCCTTGCCCACCATACAAGCGCTGACCGAAAGTGGCATCATCGTCTCAATCGGCCACTCGGAAGCCTCCTACGAGGAAGCCAAGACAGGCATCCGGTCAGGTGCAAGCATGATCACCCATCTCTTCAATGCCATGCGACCCCTGCACCACCGCAACCCAGGCATCTTCGGTCTCCTCGGCACACCCTCGTCCTCCATCCAGAAACCCTACTTCGGCATCATCGCAGACGGCATCCACCTGCACCCGACCTCGATCAAGATTGCATGGAACGCCCATCCCGACGGCCTCATCCTCGTCACAGACGCAATGCGCCTCGCCGGCATGCCGGATGGAACCTATGATTGGACAAATGGCTCCCGCATCATCAAGAACGGCGCCCTGCTTACCCTCGAGGAAAACGGAAAGATTGCTGGTAGCAGTATCCAGCTCGTCGACTGCGTCACCAACTTTCTCAACTGGACCGGTGCAAGCGTGCCCCAGGCGCTCAAGGCGGTGACGCAGACGCCCGCGAGGATGCTGGGTGTAGAAGGGGTCAAGGGGACGTTGAGGGAGGGCGCGGACGCGGATTTGGTGGTGCTGGATCTGCAAGAGGGTGCGGTGCCAGGGGAGAAGAAAATGGTGGTGGATGAGGTATGGAAGTTTGGTGTCAAGGTTTTTGAAAGGGCGCAGGGTGTTTGAAGTAGGAGGTCGATTTTTTACAGTGTTGGTGTCGTTCCCATACGCAATGATGGATTGAGATCAAGACTGCTGCCGGCCAATTCGTGCTCAAGGATGCTGGACCCTAGATTGTACACATCACACCTTTTCATTCTCACTCGATTAGACATGACTTAGACTGTAGTTAATTACCAAGATACCAAGACAACATAGTAGTTCTTCCTTCCTTCCCATTGCATGCATCCACAAGCACCACGAAGCCGTCCTTTTCAAGAGTTTAAATAAATCGGGTATAATCAAGCGTGATGGGTATCTCGAAAATAGAATCCAAAAGAAAGACGTATTCGTGCCCGTAAAACCGCTCATTATGCCCCTTTCGCTCAAAATCAGCAGCATCTGCCCCCTTTGCTCTTCTGCACGCGGACAATATCATCTTCCCATTCCTGCTGATGTCCCACCAGGCCAGGGGTGTTGGGGAACCCAAGCCAGCTGCGGCGTTGGTCGCCTGCGCCGATCCTGAAGCTTCCGTTGCCGTTGGCAGGGTGATCAAAGTAGCCTGGGTTGCCATTAATGTCGACGCCAGGTGTCATGCCGACCATGGCGAGAGTGCGCTGTTCCTCTTCAAACTTCTTTTGTTGTTGCTCGACAAGTTTGCGGGTGATTACGCGAAAGACTTCATCGACGCCCTCGCCATCTTTTGCACTGATCTCGTGACAGCAGTCCCAGCCAATGTCTTGTCCCCAGAAGCCGCTAGATCGGTTGCTTTGTGGTGAGGCGAGAGCACCACTTTGGAAGGCGGCCGGGACGGAGCCCCAGCCAGTGGTTTGGCTGCTCGGTGCCTGCACAGCCTGCGCGGGGTATAGGTTCTCGGCAACGTACGCGATGCAACGCTCAAAGGGGACTTTGCGTTTCGATGGATCTTCGGCGACAATGTCTGACTTGGTTCCAACGACGTGGAGGATAACTTCCTCTCCCAGATTGGTCTTGAGTTCTTTCAGCCAGCGGCCCATTTCTTCAAAGGACTGAGGATCTGTAATATCATAGCACAGTACAGCTGCATTTGCGCCTGTTGGGGATGCGATTAGTTTCTGTACAATATCATTTAAACACAAAAGAGTGGGGTGGACGTTGATTTCGACCTCGATACCCTGGAATGTCTAATGGGCCGAGGCAAGTCAGGAGACCAGGCTATCGCGGTAACGCAAGGAATTTGAATACGAAGAAAGGGGGTGTTTTGGGGAAAGGTCCAAACCCGCGATACGGAATCGGTGTGTGACTGGACGTACCTCTGTAGTAGAGCTTTGTGATGGACCGAAATCTCTCCTGCCCGGCTGTATCCCATATTTGAAGACGTACGACTGTAGATGTGTCGATGTCCACCACTCGCTTGGTCAGGAAGGATGCGCCCACTGTGGATTGAGTGGACGGTGGTGTAAACGCGTTCCTCACGTAGCGATGGACGAGAGACGTCTTTCCGACGCCCTGGCTGCCCAGGACCACGATTTTGGCCTCTAGACTGTTCGTCATGGCCGTGGAATCGGCTGGAATGGAGATGCGAGCAGGCAGAGGCTGAGGGAGTGCGCGGACCGCAGGCGGATTCGCGGAGATGATGTATGTTCGGGTTGGGCAGCGACCTCAGGCACGGTGCTTGTTTTGGGCCTGGGGAGTGAGAAGCGGTCGTCTCGTTGGCGGTCGTAGGACAAGTTGCATGGCGGGTTGAAGGCGGCAGGGCGTCGTGAAGAAGGACATGAGCCCGTCCAGAAGCCTGACGTAGTTGTGGACCGGATTATGAGGGACTGCGAGCGACCCAAACGACGAGTGACATCGCGGGTCCATATGGCGCTTGCACGCTGCATGGCTTGGCTACGGGGGCCATGTGACGGCGATCGCGCGATGGGCTTGCAGTCAGCTAGGCCAGCCTAACTGGAGCGTAGGTATGTAGGGACCATGACGCTTGCCTATCGTAAAGGATAGAGATAGAGGCATGGCATTATCTATCCATTGCAGCTGGGGCGGGAGGAGGGGGGGAAGGCAAGGAATGAGAGGGGGAAGAGAGAGAGGGCGAAGAGAGAGGGGGGGAAGAGAGAGAGGGCGAAGAGAGAGAGGGGGAAGAGAGAGAGAGAGGGGGGGGGCGGAGGGGGATTATCGTTGTGTGGTGTGTCTGAAGAGCTGGAAGAGCACGCGTGCTGAGGTTGCGCCATGGCCGTTGTGTCCATCCAGCTTCGTTGTAGGTTAGAACTACAGTGTTTGTGACTGCATTGTTGCATGGGCATGCACGTCATAGAGTAAGTATTCCCAGTTAGTCTGAGCGGCGGTGCAGGACGGAGGTGCAGCGCGTCCGATTGGAAGTGTCTGCTGGCAGCGACAGCCTTGGTGCACGCACTCCTGCACGCTCTCCAGGTCGTCGTATGTGTACATGGAGTAGTAGTAGAAGTACACACAATGTGCCGTACCTACACTCCACTCTCTCGTGCAGGGTATATTTGGAGTCTCGAGCCATGCACGCTGCCCTGCCACCTTGCCTCAAAGCTGGACGGACCTATCCGCGAGCTGCGTTTACCAACACCCCAGCCGGCTTACCGCTTTGGACTGGCCTGCACTCCCGAGGCCTCCTCTCCAGAGGCCAGTTGCGGGGACGAGATGCACCGAGGAGCCAAGGGGGCACTTCACTCGTTCCGTCAATATCCCAGTCAGCCCGCGCATCTTGCCCTCGCCTCGTCGTCTAGTGGCTACTGCGATTCTATACTCTTGTCTTTGCCCCTACCATCATAAGACTGTCCTTCTTCTTGCTTGTGTGTCTTGATCCATTGTTTTTCATTTCCCTTCATTTCCATCCCATCCCACAATCACCGTCATGAATCGGGACAGCAATAATACGCAGGCGGTCAAGCTCACGGGCGAGGAGATTGCAAAGCACAGCAACAGCGAATCGTGCTGGGTCATTGTCCACGGTCGCGCATACGATGTCACAGAGTTCTTGCCAGAACACCCCGGAGGCGCAAAGATCATTTTGAAGTATGCGGGGAAAGACGCCACAGAAGCGTACGAGCCCATCCACCCTCCCGACACACTGGACAAGTACTTGCACAAGTCCAAGCATTTGGGAGAGGTCGACATGGGCACCGTCAAAGAAGAGGCCAAGGAACACGATCCGGATGAGGAGGAGCGACAGAAGCGCATTGAGCGTATGCCCATCTTGGAGCAATGCTACAACCTGATGGACTTCGAGGCTGTTGCACGAAATGTCATGAAGAAATCAGCCTGGGCCTACTACTCCAGCGGTGCTGACGACGAGATTGTAGGACTTGACCAAACGTCTCGCACTCTAGAGCATATGCTAATAGCCTTCTAGACTCTACGTGAAAATCACAACGCATTCCACAAGATATGGTTCCGCCCACGCGTCCTCATCGATGTCGAAAAGGTCGACACAACCACCACAATGCTTGGTGCAAAGGTCGACATACCCTTCTACGTGACAGCAACGGCCTTGGGCAAGCTTGGAAACCCAGAGGGCGAGGTTGTCCTCACCCGAGGCGCACGCAAACACAATGTCATTCAGATGATTCCCACACTGGCATCCTGCTCGTTTGACGAAATCATGGACGAGGCCAAAGACGGTCAAGTCCAGTGGTTGCAACTCTACGTGAACAAAGACCGAGATGTCACGAGACGAATCGTGGAACACGCCGAGAAGCGCGGCTGCAAGGGCCTCTTCATCACTGTCGATGCGCCGCAGCTCGGTCGTCGCGAGAAAGACATGCGTAGTAAGTTTGAAGATGTTGGGAGCAACGTGCAGAGCACCGGCGGTGACAATGTGGACCGAAGTCAAGGCGCCGCACGAGCCATCTCGTCCTTCATTGACCCGAGCCTCAGCTGGAAGGACATTCCTTGGTTCAGGAGCATCACCAAAATGCCCATCATCTTGAAGGGTGTCCAGTGCGTAGAGGATGTAATCCGCGCAGTCGAGATCGGTGTCGAGGGTGTTGTTCTCTCAAATCATGGTGGTCGTCAGCTTGACTTTGCTCGCTCTGGCGTCGAGGTCCTTGCCGAGGTTATGCCAGTCCTTCGCCAACGTGGCTGGCAAGATCGCATTGAGGTATACATCGACGGCGGTATACGCCGAGCCACAGACATTATCAAGGCCGTTGCACTGGGTGCAAAGGGTGTGGGCATTGGACGGCCATTCCTTTATGCCATGTCTGCGTACGGACTGCCTGGTGTGGATCGCGCGATGCAGCTGCTGAAAGACGAGATGGAGATGAACATGCGCCTCATCGGAGCATCGTGCATTGCGGATTTAAATCCTTCCATGCTCGACACTCGAGGTTTAAGCATGCACACGGCGCCCGTGCCGCAAGACACACTTGGCTTGAATGTCTATGATCCACTCCTTGGGCCTCAAGAGAAGGCTGTAAGAGAAAAGTCCAAGCTGTAGGCTGTTGTTGGAAGAAGAGGCAGACGCAGACTATGTTGTACATATTTCGATTTGACACGTGTTGCTGGAGTTTTATTGTGCACAATGCAAATTCGCTTGTAGTTCCTCTGATTGCAACGGGTTTGCCATGGTGATAACAAGGAACATGCTACAATCTATGTCCTATTCATGTGACTGAAACCTGGTCCCTCACAAACTTGAGGATGTCGATAATCAACGGAGGATAAGAATTTCCCTGGTCCGCATCTTAAAAGCGCCCGCGCCCCCACGCACGTGAGAGCGCGTCTGTGGGGTCAAGGCTGCTGCGGCCCGATGGTTCGTTTCCCCGAAGCCTGCAACCTCGAACGATGATGCTTGCTTCTTGTGCACATTGACTTCTCCACATTCACAGGATTCCACACCAACAATAACATTTTACCCCGCCGCCTCGCTCTTATATTTACTAAATCCCTTCTTGCTTTTTTGCTTCTTTTGAATTTTTACACTTATTTACTATGACTGGTACAGAACACCCTGGCCAAGTCGATGACGGCTGGGACGAAGCACAATGCACCTCAGCGCTGGCACATTTAGAGCGACTACAGGCACAGGTGATGGAATCCACGAGTAGTCATAGATTTGATCGCTAACAAGTAGCAGATCGATGATCTACGCCTCGCCATCCCCCAGATAGTCGAACCGTTCCACCAACCCTTTACTTCCACCACCTTCAAACAGTATGCGCAAGGCGCCATGAGCTCACAGAACGGCATCAAGTCGCTCAACGAGCAATGGAATAGTCTTGAGAACCAGAAGACCTTCGAGCATGTTAGGAAAAGTTATGCTACCAACTCAGATCTCTCCGCAAGCACAACGATACCATCCTACGGTTGGCAAGAGAGAGCGCGCAGCAATACAGATCCAGTTCAGAATGTGCATAGTGATGTTATAGAAGAAAATTGTGCCGTTCTCAGCGACAAGGACGTCTCACGCATCATAGTCGAGTTCCAAAAGAAACGACCCGACATCAAACTGGAGACACAGGACGACGACCAAACTATATTGGTATGATGGCTACTCAAACTTCAGTGATTGGCGCTGACACTCGGGAGATGTATTTTATATCTACTTCGAAAAAGCTAGAGTTCCGTATTGTCATTGAACGCGATGCGAACGGTCGACACAAACTTGCAGCTGACTGCCTGGGACCCAAGGAGCTCCTTCAAGCCATCACACGATGCATAGCGTCACGTCCAAACGCAAACGACTTGGAGTATCTATTGGTATGTTCCATTTGCGCTTTCTTTCGATCCGCTGATAGAGATTCTAACAAAGACAGGATATGTTGGCTGCATACAAGACCATGAAGCCACCATCATGTGCTAAATGCGCCAAAATTCTTGACCAAACAATGTTGCCACCAACTGCGAGACGAAGTAAGCAGGTTGAAACCCCAAATGCCACGATGGAAACAGTCTGGGAGGCTTTCCATGAAGGTTGCATTGGATGATAGACCTCCCTCCCAGCTAGTACTTCTATAAAGCCCACCACGGGACTGTGTAGTGTAAATGTGCACCCGGGGCACCCTGGCCAAACTCATTATCAATAGGTCCGCCTAGGACCTGGGGCAGATATTGGTCGTCTTGCCACCACTGCCCATTTAAATCCCTGACGGCTTCGGGATATTTGTTCCAACTTCTGTTCCTATAGGGCTCCGGCTGCCAGATGGCATCTGTCCACATTGCCGGGTATGGTGAGACATATTTTCGAGTCCGAAAATCGTATTTTTTCCAAGGCGGTCGCCCCCAGAGCCCGCGGTCGCGCGTCCATGGCGAATATTTTTTCGTGTTGAACCTAAAGCCCATACCACGATCATCTAGGTCTGAATGCCTGGACCACTCAGCTCGTGTGGGGCGGTTGGGTATGCAGTCATTTTTATTTGCGCCGAACGCGACATAGATATCAGGACCTTGGTTTCGCAGGACATCTTTCAAGCGACCCCACGTAGATCCATTCTTTCCATCTTTGGGCCATATGAAAGCCTTTGCTGTCTTTTTCTGGTTGAGCTTCCGACCGTCTTGATACCATCCTCGTGGGAGACGAGGTTCGTCAGCATATTCGGCTACTCGATGTCTCCAACCTTCGTCAGTCTGGCCGAATTTAGGCGGCAAAAAGCCCGCCATTGTGCAAATGGAATTAGGAAGTCAAGAGGGATGTGAGTTTGGGAAAACAGCATGCTTGTGGAATCTGCCCTGGTTTATAGATACTACTCGAGTTTGTTGGATTGGGTTAGATAGTAATGACATACACCGTCAGTACAGAAGCACGCCTGCTGAAGAGTCATTCTGTGCCATGATTTGCGTAAGTGTTAGAAGCCATTGAAGTGTTTCCCCGCCCGATCTCGACTGAGCAAACGAATTCAGCATGAATTAGACATTTAGCAAGCATGCGTGATGTGTTGAGTCGGTGCCGGCATTGCTTGTTCTTCGTCAAACGAGCAGGTTGCAGCCAAACGAACGTGCAATTTTCAATATGGCCAATGAACTTAAGAAAGTAACATGATGGCCTATGTACTAGATCTCCAGACCTAATCGCAGACATGCAACGATATGAGATCAAGATGGCCGAATCGTCTCATTGTCTTGAATAGGACGGGTTGGGTTACCCACCAAAACGTAAGCTAGTGATTGTCAGGGATCCCAGGGCACGGACTTCTTGAGCTTGAACAACGCGATTTCCTCTCCCCAGTTTGTTGTTCGTGGGACGATCAACAACACACAACACAACCGCCATGTCGTCGCTTTTCGGTCAGCCCTGCCTCAAGTGGTGCCGCAACG